ATATATATACCTATCATTTTGGTCATTATTATTATAACATTGTTAAAGAAAATTACAGCTACTAATATAAATAGTAAGCCTAAAATTTTATTTAATGAAAATTAATGATGGAATAAAGTACAAGCTCTCCACAAACTGGAGCCGAAGGAATTTTTCTCGATGGGAGCAAAGAAATTAACTTTATAATTTAAACAGAGGCACATTGAATTTTTACCATTGGTAATATCAAATAGCAGGAGTTTTGTAATATATATTTGTCATGTAGGAAGACATGCTAAAAATTTGGAAGAGATGCACCCTCTCACATCTAACCTTCAATCTGCAATTCCTTTGTTCTTCACAAGCTGCTTGCTTTACCTTCTCCATTACCCCTCTAGATTGAAATATACACTTCCCAACAAATCTAAGTAGTTTGAAGTCCACCAAGTCCTCCAATTATGTCATCCCGTTGCTGATGAACACAGCAACCAATCAATCTCCACAACCAACCACTCCGCCCCACCCCACCTACACACACACTTTATCTCTATCTCCGTGATCCATTCAATTATCCCAGTGGGACTCCAACATCACAGTTCCTCAAAAGATTTAAAAAATAAAATAAAGTTATTGTACACATCCCAATCTTGATAGTAATCCTTTAATCTCCTGCAACTTTCCTCAGCTACCTCCACCTAATCCTTATATATTTCGATCCTTCCATGAAGACCACCAAATTTACAAAGTTGAAACAATGTCTTCGAGAATTAATAATGAGGCCTTTTTGTTTTAGTTGGTGATGATAAAGTTCTTTTGTTATTTTTCATTATGAAGATGCTTGTCCTTTGTCATTTTAGTAGGGATTATTCAACAAAATCATGGCTATTATTATAATTAATGGGTTGTATTTGGTAGATGGTGGAGTAAAAAAATGTCTTTCCAAAAGCATTTATCCTGGGTATTTGACTCCCTCTCTTTCTTCCAGAAGTTTAGGCTCTTCTTTCTCTGTATAAACCTATTTCTTCCACCCTTGACATGTCCAATCTTCTAATCTTCTCATCCACCAAACTTCAATCCTTAGTGCTTGTAATAACCAGAATACTACAATGTTAGTACATATAAGGAAACAGTTCAAAAAATAATCATCGTAGAAGGAAATCAGTAATGCAGAAAGTGATTGAGAAATTGAAGTTTAAAAAAACTTCACCACCACAAAAAAGAAGAGTACAATGCAGCCAAAATGATACTTCATTGACGAACATTTTGCTTAATGCAAAAATTCTATTCATTTGTTTTTTTTAAGAAGAGACAGATATTGCATTTTCTGAATGGGTGTACATAAGTTTACATCTGCCTTGATATTAGTAGCATGAGGGATGGAGATTAGGAGTTGAGATGTTATATTTGAAGTATAGTGACTTGTTTAATGAGTTAGTATCCAAAAGGGTAATAAGCATTGCATAAAGGTAGCCACTCAATGTAAAAATTTGCACACAACAATCAACAAAAACATTTGGAGAATCATTTTGAAGCCTAATGAACAATATTGTTCACTAAGTTTCAGGTCATGCATGAAGAGTCAAATTCTTCTGTTACAGTTCTTACTTCTCAGCTACATGTTATCATCTTTTGGCAACAATCAGCTCCTTTGAACTGCCACACTTTACCCTCCAAAAACAATCCAACGAACAAAGATTCCAAGCATGGTTATTATAATTAAATTTTATCAAATTTTTTAACATTTGCAAAGGTATGTATGTCTTATCTGTTATTTCTTTCATACTTCCCATTGCATGCATGACTGTCTAAATTGGCTTCTATAGTAAATCTATTTCACTTTGCATTAACAAATTTACACCAGAAAAAGGAGTTCAGGAAATAAGTGAGAGATAAAGAAACTCACCAATCAGCATTAAAGTGACAGCGGTCCAAATAATCATCTGAATAGGTCTACCATACTGTATTTGATATTGAGACCTCTGTATCTGTCTTTGAAAAGCTCCAAGCCAACCACAGAGCTGCTTATGGGAAGAATCGTCTGTAAATTCGCAAAGACAGCTCTTACTCTTCTCATAGCAAGCATTCATACCCTATAAACCCAGGAAAAACATAGAAAATGGTTGTCAAATGCAAATGATCGCAAAACAAATCATTCCAAAACAACTTTTTTTTTTTCTTTTAAAGTTGCTAAAAGAAGAGAATAATAATAATACATATGTTTCTTGCTAAAAGTGAAATATTTTCAAATTTGAGGAAGGAAAAGTTGCTTACTCGACTTATCTGATGATTCTGCAATGGTATAGACTCTTCCATATCTTCATAACTCACAGCCTTCCACTTCCTAAAGCCATTTCTGTACCACTTAGGCTTAGCTGCTGATTCCTCCGTTCCTAACTCAGACAAACTAAGTATCCTAGGAGGGGGAAGATTAGGCTGCGTATCAGATAACTTCAGAGGAGATTCCTCCGCAGACACTGAAATCGTCCATACCCCTAAGTCAGCACAAGCACTCGCTACCCTCCGATGACCTTTCAAGCTATCCTCCATCAATTCCGCTGAACGCAACAAATTGGCATGACAGGACTTCTTCGAGCAAACTGAAGCTTCTTCAGTCATCCTGCTTACGGCCTCACGCGCACCAGCTGAAGGTGTCACTAAAACCTTCTCCACCTGAGCACGCGAACCCGATAAGAAAAGAGCAAGCTCATCCCTTTCCCCTTCGTCAAGCCGTACCCACGCCAAACCACTCTCTTCCTCCTTCTCTAAACTCGACTCCTTCAGAGCTTTCTCCACCATCGAAATCTTGCTCCGAATCGCCGCTACAAAATCGCTATGCCGAGTTACAGTAGCTTCACCAGCTGCAAGAGCATGATCGCTGTATCTTACCGCCTTCTCCAACTCCTCCAGCTACAAATTTTCTCTCAACAAATAAAAAAACCATCCCATCTAAACGCTAAACAAAACAAAAAAAAGTAACCCTAAACAACGATCTATACCTACCTGCCATTTCGCGGTACCTAGGGCTGTATGAACCTCCCGCCGCAGCTCAACGACGAAAGCATCCCACTCCCCTCCCGAATCCATCCCACCTCTCCTTCCCTGCATCCATCGACGGTACGCAGATTCCATCCTAAACAACAAAACAAACACAGAAATAAAGTCCGGATTCAAGAAAACAACGAAAAAAAGAAACGAAAATGAACAATTCGGTACCTGTCGGTGGATTCCTGCACTTCCTCGGCGGCGTAAAAGAAGGGATCTTTCTCCCATCGATCGAACGCTGTTGCCATCGTGAACCCTAATTAAGCTCGGATAACGAACAGATTAAGCACAACAGCCGATAACCTGAACTCGAGCGATCAAACCCCTCTCCCTCTCTCTCTCTCGAAAGTTTCCTCCTTTCTCTCTAAATATTGTCGGGCGCCGTCGGAGAAGGGAAGACCACCTTCTTCAGCCGTAGGATCGGAATCGCACCAGGAAGGTGGGATGCTTGTCGCGGCACGGTATAGTGGAGGGTTCTTCGGGCCGTGTCGGGCCGCAGAGGAATGAAGAAAGGGAAGAAAACGATAAGGAACAAACACGCTACAAGTTGCGTCGGACACGTGTGGTGTACATTGCGGCTGGGCCCCGCACGCATTGCTGAGGCCACACGCGTGAATAGCGTGTTTGGGCTGCTTGGAGTTAAAAATAATTTTTGTGGGATATAAGCTATAATTAATTTATGATTATAAAATTAAAATTTGATTAATTCAATTAATGTGGGATATAATGGGTTATTATCTGTACTGCAGCTAGCATGATTTTTGGCCTGGCTTAACTGGCATGCCAAGCTTAGAGAGATTTATTTATTTATTTTTTTTAAAAAAATGAGAGTCCATTTTATAAAAATTCTAATTTAAAAACAAATTTATAAAAAGAAATAATAATTCGCTGTCTTTTTTGGATATTTTAATAAGAAAATAGATAAAGACGTGTCCCAAAATTATTTTTTATTATTTTAAAATAGATTTAGCCAACTTTGACCTAGCTCTTTTTTTTTTTTTTT